TGCAAAGAAGGGACACTCGCATGAGGCCCGCCATCCCCCTCCAGAAGCGGGTGGCCATCGCCCTCTGGAAGCTCTCCACGCCGGACAGCTACCGATCCGTCGGGAACCAGTTCGGCGTGGGGAGATCCACTGTCGGAGCAGTGCTCATGCAGGTACGGCGCTCGTCGGCCACCGAGCCGGGGGGGAGGGGGGCTGCGAGGAGGGGATGGGCCGCCCCAGGGACAAAGGGGGGGGCGGGAGGAGGCGAAAGCGCCCCGCACCGGAGGGGTCGGGCTGTCCCGGCCGTACTACACGCCGCCAGGGGGGTTGCTTCCGGGAGTGGGGCGCGGGGCACTGCCAGGGCACGCACGCTCCCAGCCACCCGGGCGCCCCACTGATTGACGCTTTGCTGTGTCTCTCTCCGCAGGTGGTCAAGGCCATCAACCGGGTGCTGCTCCGCAGGGTGGTCCGCCTCGCCAACCCGGATGCCGTCATCCGGGGATTCGGCGCCCTCGGCTTCCCCAACTGCGGGGGGGCCTTCGACGGGACGCACATCCCCATCCGTGCCCCAGAACACCAGACGTCCTGCTACGTGAACCGCAAGGGGTACTTCTTCTTTGTTTGACAGAATAAACTTTTGTCCTATTTTTAGTCAAAAATGTAAATTACCATCTTATTTTTTTTCTACTACAGACGACTTACTACTTAATACCCTGCCTCTATCTTTCAAAAACTGCTGTTTAAATACCCAGGAATCTGATTAAAAATGAGATTCCAGATCTAAAAAGGGCTATTATGGCAAAACAGTTTACAGATAAATAACTAGAACACTATTGTTACCTTCATTATGCTAGTGAGGTTCATGCTCCGTACAAAATATATAAGCACGATCCTTAGCACATGCCAAAGAACTCATTAAATACATTGGGAAGTTTAACTGAGAGAATGCATTGATGTACCCTATAAGGATAATGATAAAACATCTAGCTATAAAATTGAGCATCCTCCCCAGCTTCTGCTTTGGGCCCACTCCTGAACATCAATGCGATTTAAACATATGCCTAAACATAGGCATGTATTTACATGTCTTGCTGAAACAAGTCATTGAAAGATAATAATAATCATGACACCTTATAAGTTATAGAATGAACTTGGTTTAGCATCTTATGGGATTGGGGTCTTTTGTTAATTGCAATAGTAACTAACTCCAGAGGCTCTGTAACAGCATGGTCCTTGTTTGATTATCAGACAGAATCATAGGATCACAGAACTGGAGGGGACCTCAAGAGGTCATCGAGTCCAGTTGCCTGCCCTCAGGAAGTACCAAGCACTGTCTAGACAATCCCTGACAGATGTTTATCTAACCTGCTCTTAAAAATCTCCAGTGATAGAGATTATTTTTGCAAATGCCCTAAGCAATTTATTCAAGTGCTCCTAATGTCCAACGTAAAGCTCTGTTGCTGCAATTTAAGCCCATTGCTTCTTGACCGATCTTCAGAGGTTAAGGAGAATAATTTTTCACCCTCCTTATTGTTACAACCTTTTAGGTACTTGAAAGCTGCTATAATGTCCCCTCTCAAGCCTGGTCTATGCTAGACTAGGCAGATAGGTTTAAGGTACACCATCCAGCTATGCAAAATGCAAAGTTCGATTCAGCTTACCTTAAGCCAAGCCACTGCAGCATCCACACTGCAGGAAGCCAACAGGAGCACTCACTCCCACCGGCTGCCCTTACTCCTCACAGAACAAGGAGTAACGGATGCTAGTGGGGGCTACCCTCAATGTTTGATTTACAGGCCTACATTAGACCTGCTAAATCCAATGCTAGAATATCGACCATTGGATGGGTGATCTTCTCTGTAGTATAGACATGCCCTCAGTCTTCTCTCTTCCAAAGTAAACAAACTCAGTTCTTTTAGTCTTCCCTCATAGGTTGTGTGTTCTAGATCTTTAAAATTTTTTGTTGCTCTTCCGTGGACTTTCTCTATGGTCGACATCTTTCCTGAAATGTGGCACCCAGAACTGGACACAATGCTCCTGTATGGGACATAGCTCGAAGTCATTCAGGGTTCCTGTAAAAGGCTGAGAGGTGTCACCTGAAGCAAAGCAGTCCCATGGCAGGCTCTGGAGTGCAGCGGAGTGGAAAAGACATAAGGGAAATGAACTCTGGACCCCTGCAGCCTGATTTGGTCAAGTAAATAATCTCCTTTGTGCTACATGGGTGTGGGAGCCATTGTTATAGAGGGGGTGCTGAGAGCTATTGAACCAAACTGTAAATGCTGTGTATGATGGACACCACTTCAAAGCAGGGGGGACTGTAGCACCCCGACTTCTTACCCATATATTGTTTTGTGCCTTAAAACAGCCCTAGAGTTGCCCATGTTTCTGTCAATTGCAAATATGTTTGAATGTTGAGTCCTTTTGGCAAACTTGATTTGTATTAAACACATTTGATTTATTTTCTTCAGTCTCATGGGCAGGAAAAAAAAGGCAAATTAGTTTAGTAATACATTAACTTTCTACCAGCATCTGTTTGCAGTCTGGCTGTGTTGTTATAAATAACATTTCCCTAAATATCACAGTGAAATCTTGGATTAGTTACAATGAGCTCTATGAAAGATTTCAGACCTCAATCTGCTAGGAAGTTCTCTCACTGAAATTTTACAAGGTAGGCACATATCAGATGAACTCACAAAACTAGTATTTTGCGTGTCCCAAAATGGTGCATGCCACTGAGTTAGGCTGATACAAGAAAGATATACAAATCAAGAGGTGGGCTGGATTCACAAAAGCAGTGTAATAATCCAAACTTTAGAAAATATACAGATATTCTTCTCCCATAAAGGAAATAAACCAGACTTGTAAGTCTGAAGCTGGTTGTTTGATCTAAGCTCTGAGGTGATATCTATCTGGGGGGGGGGGGGTTTAAAAAAACCCCGGGCAGGCTCCTGGGAGCTGCCAGGCTGGTCCCGGGAAGAGGGGGAGGGCTGGGTGGCATTGGGTGGCTGGCTCATGGGGTGTCAGCTGCTTGGTGTGCTGGCACGGGTGCTGGCAGCCTTGCAACTGGCACAAACCCCGTAGCCAGCCCGTGGCCCTTTAAGGGCTCCGGGGCCGGGAGGGGGGCAGTAGAGTTTCCCTGGTGTTGGCCAGAGTGGCCACCAGGGCAAGCTGGGAAGGGCTAGCCTCCCACTAGTTCGAATTAAGGGTCTACACAGCCCTTAATTCGAACTAGTAAATTCGAACTAGGCTTAATCCTCGTGGAATGAGGATTACCTAGTTCGAACTAAGCGCTCCGTTAGTTCGAATTAAATTCGAACTAACGAAGCGCTAGTGTAGCGCCTGTGAATGTTAGTTCGAACTAACTTTGTAGTGTAGACATACCCTAACATACTTTGGCAAGTCAAAAATGGTAAAGACAGGTTTTGAACACTGGTTTCCAAACAGTGGGCATAGAACTACAAGTCTGATTTGCAAGTGCAACAAGCAAAATCAATGTCTAAATGAAATACTTAGTCTCCACAAAATTGCAGGATGTTTATAACTGTTTTATTCTTGCAGTAATTGCAAGGGTTATACCATTTCTGTTCTTTTTGTAGGTGTTCATTACAGTCCTTTCCCCCAATAAGAATTTAGTCTAGTTTAAAGTTTCCTGTTGTGGTTAACACATTCCTCCCCCCTCCAAAGAGCCCAACATGAATGACTGTAAATCTTATTTGTGTTCTTCTTGTATTTCTAGCAGAGACAAGGAGGAGAAAAAAAGACTTATTTAAGCCTTAGTTTAAAGTGAGACTTCAATTTGCTTAAATTGTGAACTTGGAACAGAAAAGCAATGCATTCTCCTGTCATAGTTGGTTTATTTTACTTTCTTCTAATTAAGGCTTGGAAGAGCTTAACTGTCCAGTGTGAAGGTATGGTCATAATATGTTACAGATCTATTTCTTTAGCTACTAGTACTGTTCTAATTTTGGAGGGGGAAGGTTAGTTTATTTCATCATCACTATGTTGAGCTTAAACAAAGCTGAAATCATGGTCCCATTGAAATCAAAGGGCCTGCTAGTGCGGTTTCAGCAAAGCCAGGATTTCACATCAAGTATTTTCCGCTAGTCATGGAACAATCATACTTCATTCAAATCAAGAGAGATTTTCAGGGTATTTTGTCTTTGTTGTTTTATAACACACTCTTAAACTCAATGACTCTAAAATTACATTAGGCAAAATTCTTGTTGGTGGCCAAGTTAAGTGGTAATATAGATTGACTTGGATATGTTTGCGGAGGACAGATTTCACCTATGTTTCAAAATAATGCCCAAACTATGACATTTTTAAAAAGGAGGCACAGTATGTTTGGTTATTGTGAATTTTTTTAACAAGTTCTTTGGAGTCACAATATTTAGCAAACATTAATGGAGCAATTCTCTTATCTGTTTTTTTCACGGTTGGGGAAAATTAGCACAGAGGACAAATGATTTGCCTAAAAATCACACAGCAAGGCTCTGGCAGAATTAGAAATAGAATTGCAGATCTCTTCAGAGACAAATGTTTTCACTACTTTTACTAACAGAGAAAAGATGGCTTATTTTGGAATAATTTCTGCATAAAATATGTGAATAGAGCAGATTTATGTTAGTATGTTTACAGTACCATAGCAAACAAGATTCAAGGGGTCTATTGTTTTGTCATTAAAATATCAATTTAAATTCAATTAGTCTTTTTTTTTTAGGAGGGCGAGCCAAGAAATGTTTGAGAATTTTACTTGGTATGCACAGTTTTAGAATGTTTCTCCTGGGCTTTTCCATGAAAAAAAGTCCACAATAGCAAATAGGATTTAAACAAAGAAATACAACTCTTTGTTTTGTAATTGAGAGCAAGGATTAACTAATTTGAGCTTGCATTTTTCTTTTCTGGACATACACCCTGCTCTGTTTGTTAAGACTAAAGCATGAATATGAGGTCTAGGAAGAGTGGTTAACATAAACACCACTGTTTTGGTAACTTGGAGACAAAGGTGGGTGAGGTAATACCTTTTATTGAACCAACTTCTGTTAGTGACAGAATCCAGCTTTCAAGCTCCACAGAGCTCTTCAGGTATGAGAAAGGTACATCAAAGCTACATCGTAGATGACACATTCTAAGGGACCATCCACATCCTTTCTGTCATAGGGTAAATAAGAGAAGAAATAAAGGGTTACAGGTTGTTATAAAAATTTAAGTTCCCAGGATCATCTACTGAAGGTATTGAGCAGGCTTCCTTTGAGGATAAGGATTGAGAGGTCAGATATGGAGTGATTGTTTTGTGAAGAGTCTCTGAACGTGTGCAACACATTATTTTCATATTTTATTTCATTTCTGTATCAACTCAGTCAAGACCATTGTGATTGTCTCATTTCAGCAATGGTTGTTATTGGTGCAGTTTGGCACATCACATGTTGTGATGGGCATGGACCCATTGGTATTATGAGGTGTATTGTGAGGGATACTCATCAGAATAGCAGAGGAGTCACATCTGCAGATTTTGTGTCAGTCATTTTGGTGCTGCTTTGAGTTGGTGGGTCCTGGTTCCTGGCATGTGTTGCTTCTGCTGAGTTGTGGGTGTGTTGTTTTGGTGGGTGTGTTGTTTTGAAGTCAGAAGAGAGGGTTCGGGAAAGATTTCTTTCTGGATGTAGTCCCTATGAGTATGGGTTGTAATTGTTTGAGGATATTCTATATGAGTTCCAGCGTGGGGTGGTGGGTGACAACGAGGCATATTCAGTCAGAGGGTCCACCTCCCATATTGATAAAGATGTGCTGGGGGTATTTGGTTGCCCTGTTCTAGGGTGTGATTTGCTTCTCTGGGGGAACATCCTACATAGCAAGGTGATTTTAAGTGTGAAGAAGTGGATTGTGGACTTTCTCCTTGATCGATATGGGACATTATCTGAGGACCTGGCTTGGAGAATGGATTTCAAGGAATGTTTGGGGAAAATACAGCAACTGTGAAGATTGTACGTGGTGATCCATGGGTATCTTGTACATAGTTGTGCATGGGGTTCTATTATTGACGCTGATCATGTTGTCTAGGAAATTGATGTGGTGTGATAGTATACCAAAGACAATTTGATGGGTGCTGGTAACTGAAGCTTGGTGGAAATCAATGAGGGTATGGCTACACTAGCCACCCTAGTTTGAACTAGGGTGGCTAATATAGTAATTCGAACTTTTGCAGGAGGAGTAACGGTAGTTCGAATTAAGAGTGTTAATTCGAACTACCTAGCCCGTGCCGCGTGTAGCCGCAAGCAGGTAGTTCGAGCTACTGGGCATTTAAAAATGGCAGCGCCCGGGAAATTTAAATCCTGGGCTTCATCTGCAAGTTCAAATTACTACATTAGACACCCTAGTTCGAACTAGGGTGGCTTGTGTAGCCATACCCTGAGGGAGTTTAGTTGGTCCATCCCAAGGATGAAATCATCAGTGTGTATAATTGATTTTGTGGTGAACTGATCCAGAAATTCTTCCTCAAGATAAGCCCTTGAGGAGTTTGGCGTATTGGAGAGCCATCTAGTATCCAGGGCTGTTCCCGTGATTGGTATTGAAGTATTGGTAACTAGCGTGGATAAAAATAGGTAGTTTCTAAATAGGGAACCCAAACTAAAACAGCCAGTCTTCCAACTGTTATTTTGTAGAGCCAAAATGTTTAGGTCATGGCTATTCACATTAGGCTAACTCAGGAGTGGGCATTAATATTTTGCCAGGGGCCTCTTCAAAAATTTCTGAAGCTGCACTGAAAGGGGCAGGGCCTCAAGCAGAAGGGGCGGGGCCACCTTCAGACAATGATTGGTAGGGGAGCACCATTGCCCCCCCCCGAGGTTTCCCCTACGCGCCCATGCCCCTGGCAGTGGGAGGAGACTTTGCACGCTCTCCCTTCTGCCCACAGCCCAATCAGCACTTTGGGGCAGGGGAACACGCCAAGTCTCCTCCCACCCTGTCAGGAGCGTGTGGCACACTGCTAAGTGCCACACATTTCTGGCAGGGTGGGGGCAGGGCAGTGGAAACTTTGCATGCTCCCCCGTCCCAGGGTAATCGGGGTTTGGGGGCGGGGGAGTGTGCGAATTCTCCTCCCACCCTGCCAGGAGCCATGTGCTACTGGCAGGGCAGAGGAAACTTCATGCGCTTCCCTCTGCCCCCAGGCCCTAATTAGCATGGGTGGGGGAGAGTGGCAGGGCCTCTGCAGGCTGGATCAACCCGCCTGGCGGCCAGATCCGGCCTGTGGAGGCCCTTTTGCCCACTCTGGGCTAACTCCAGAAAGGTGCTGAGCACTTGGCCTCAATCCAGCAAAGAATTTAATCATATAAGTAGCCTTTTAAGCTCGCTGAAGCTGACCATGCATTCAACTCTAAACATGAACTTAAGTTCTTTGTGTGGTGAGGGACTGAATGCAAAATTAAGTCTCACACTAATTCATATAAAGTCTGATTTTACAGATTTTCCACTCAAGTTGATGATAATTTTACATATCTAGGGACACCCTACGACAAGCCTTTGAAGTATAAACATTTTTCTATGGAAAAAAGTTAATGATACATTTTAAGAGATACTGCTTCTAGAGCAGTTTCTAGAGAATACTTAAAAACCACTCAAAACTCTTTGGCTGCGTCTAGACTGGCATGATTTTCCGGAAATGCATTTAATGGAAAAGTTTTCCATTAAAAGCATTTTCGGAACAGAGCATATAGATTGGCACGGACGCTTTTCTGCAAAAGCACTTTTTGCGGAAAAACGTCCATGCCAATCTAGATGTGCTTTTCCGCAAAAAAGCCCCGATAGCCATTTTCGCGATCGGGGCTTTTTTGTGGAAAACAAATCTGAGCTGTCTACACTGGCCCTTTTGTGCAAAAGCTTTGTGCAAAAGGGACTTTTGCCCGAATGGGAGCAGCATAGTATTTCTGCAAGAAGCACTGATTTCTTACAGTAGGAAGTCAGTGCTTTTGCAGAAATTCAAGCGGCCAGTGTAGACAGCTGGCAAGTTTTTCCGGAAAAGCCGCTGATTTTCCGGAAAAACTGGCCAGTCTAGACAGAGCCTTTTAGAGAAAGGATTCCAGACAGAAAATAGTTTTGACCAGCAGCTAAAATTGTCCTTTTGACTTGAATTTCAACTGTATTTTCTGCTGCTCTTTGGAAAGCTAAAATAGCGAGATATCTTCCTGTACTGGACTGATTAGACAGCTGATAGGAGCATTTGGGAAGAGCACACCTCTGGAAGATTAGAGTTAAGACAGACTTCTAAAGGCACCCATCACTGTGATATCTGGGTGCAGCTGACACGGCTGAATGTGGATCACTGGGAACCAGAAAGAAAAGCATCCTCCTGCCCAGCAGCTTTAAAAACAAAGGAGATGAATTTGGCCAATAAGCTGTTGTCCATCCTTCTTAGACTATTGCTTTGAAATTTAAGTGCCACTAAGACCCTAAGAATTCAGAGTTCAGTCAGATGAACAAGATGAGCCTTCACACTCTAGAGATGGTTAGTTTTGTGCTTCAGAATATGTTCAGTAGGACCACAGCCCCCCTACAAAGAATTCCCTGCCTTGTGCTCTCTGAAGCCCCATCTATAGCAACTAGTTCCAGGGCTGCAGTTTAGGGTGCTAGGAAATGAACTATCTTGATGGCCCTCCTGAGTTTTCAGACCTGCACAAGGGCATAATTACCGGTCTCAAATGCAAGCTATAAAGAGCAAAGAAAAAATAATAATCCAAACCTCAATTGTTCACCTATTGTACAGTAGGGAAATAATCCTGCTACTGGAC